AAGATTATACCTATTAGAGTGTTGCTAATAATCCCTAATTGATAGCTCAGAATTATAATTGTAGAGAGGGTACTATCAAACATCCATTAAATAAAAACTGCATTATTCCATACTCACTCACAATTAATAATCAGCAACTTTAGCTTAATGTACTAGCTCTATAAATAGGTCACTCTACTACCGTGTAGTTCTGGTCATACTTATTTAAGATGGGCGATGCAGAAAAAAATATAACATTATTTGAGGTTAAAAATCTAAGTGGAATTGGATTTTAAGATAGGAACCTAATATTTTACCATTTTTAATAAACGCCTAACCTACTTAGGAAAGAAGAAAACTTTCTAATCAGTCCTGATCTCAGTTCAGGATGGTTTAAATATCATATGGTACTATATAATAATTTATGGAGCATATATACTAATGGTGATTTGATAATGACTGTGCCTGATTTGACTGGTAACTATGAGAAAATTGAATTTAGTTCTATAGATATAAATGTCACTAGTGATACAAATTACAAGATGAAGATATCTGAAATAGCCATCTTTGGTTATCCCTTATCTCAATCCTCAATCATCAAAAATTTAAACTCTAAGATCCGTAAAGATATGTATCTTAATACTCTCCTAGTCTATTATCAATTAGACGAGAGTTACGGTTATAAATTCTATGATTACTCTAGATATGAAAGATAAACTATATTAAGTAATTTTAATCGTATTTACTGGGATTATAATCCTAAAGGTATTTAAGGCTCAAACTTAATGTCGCAGCACTCTGAGATTTAAACAAGAGATAAAGCACTTTTCTTTAAGTATTAAGTTGATAACTAAACATAGTTTAACTTTGTAAAAAATAATGTCAACATAGGCTAAGACCTTTCTTTGAGTTTTTGCTATAGATTTTTAAATGTTTCCGAAATATTACTCAAAAAAGGCGTCATTATGTTTGATATAATCGATGTAATGGATATCGAACTAGACATTAATACAATGAATGAGATTTAATTCAATGTTTATCCATTGCATTCTTCAAGAGTTGGAACTGATTTCCCTCTAATTTAAATTGATAGCACTATTCATCAATGGAAATGTCTAGTGTATGGAATTT